AACAGAACAGAGTCAACAACAGACCCAGAAAGTGGTCTATGACAGAGAAAATAATAAACTATTAAATGAGAAAATAATAAACTATTCATTAAATGATAATGAGATAAATGGTTTTTGTAATGAAACACAGTTGGACCCATGCCTCATACAATACAGAAATGTAAACATCAAATGAAATCTACCCCCCCCAAAAAATTTCCCAGTTAAAAAAAAATACATAAAGCATAGATAAGGAAACTCAAAAGTCAAAATATATAAAGAAGATCACCTCTAAGGGAAATGCAAAATGAATGAGCAGTGAAATACTTTCATTCCATGCTTATCAGATCAACCAGACCTAGAACAGTCACATTCAGACATGGGAGTACAAGGAACTCCAACAAACTGCAATGGGAGTGTGAAGTGAACCAATCTCTAGTCTCTTGGGAATGCAATCTGCAAAACCCAGTAAAGCTAAGGCACAGCCAGAGGCCAACAGAAGCACATCCGCTGGTTGGTTATTCAACTTCTGAGGATTCCTACCTTGTGCTCATACATTTCTATAAGATCTTATCAAAGATATTCACTGTGCTTTTTTTATAATAGTGAAAGGTGAAGATACCTTAATGTCCACCGACAGGGAATGTTTAAGCGCTGGTATATCAAAGGAATGAATTAACTACAAAGATCAACAAATGTTATCAACACTTGTAAAAGAAATGTTTAGGTGAAACAAGATCATGAAAATAGATACAGCACCCCTCTATTACATAAAATTGTAATCAGGAAAGAAGACAACACATGCTGATGGGCACATACTCAGTCTCAACATTGCAGATTGTGTGGACTCAACCCCAAGTTCTCATCCTTCACTATCTGGATTCTATGCTTGCTCAAGGGAGAATTTTCTATTTTCAGCAATCCCATCCTTAGACTTAAGTGGCTGCTGCATGTTTAATACTAGACTAGGAGCCAGGAAGGACAAAAGAATTATGCAAGACTTTTCCAGCCTGCAGAAGGGTACAACTCAGCAAGGGAAGCTGTCTCAGTCTTAAAGAATTGGCTTTCAAATCTTGCTCTGGCTCACAAAGTACACAAGCTTAGAAAAAGAGCATAGTTTTCAAGGCTCAGATCCTTTATCTATAAAACGGAAAAGCCGCCTACCTCCAAGTGTGAAAGAGTAAATGAGACAGTGTATGTGTGTGGGGGGGAGGGCGTATAACACATAGCAAACATATAACACTCCTAGTGATTGTAGGCAAGGTTAGCCACCAAATGAATACAGCCTTCTAAACAGTATCTCAGTCATGCTGACAGTGAAAGAAAATAGTGATGGATTGACAAGGGCTATAGGATAGGTCCTATTAGCCACCTCCAACCTAGAGAGAGCTTCCCTATCTCCTCCTGGTGACTTGGGCCCACCCCGTGATATTCGTGGGGCATTTCCTCCAGCAACAGTGTGGCTATGGCCAGACCGACCCATGTGTCTAAGTTCACCATGGACAGACAGTGCTTTGTAAAGAGCTACCAGTCTCAGGAGAGAAAACTCCATCTCTTAAACTGTTTGGGAAATTCTGGAGTAAGATGTAACACATCTAAGTTAATTTTCTAATTGACCCTCTTCAAAATCCCAAGGACCAACAGGTATGGTGATGTACACCTGTAATTCTAGTGTTTGGGGAGGCTGAGGCAGGAGGATCACGACTTTGTGGCCAGCCTCAGAACCTAGCAAGACCCTAAACAACTTAGCAAGACCCTGTCTCAAAATAAAATAAAATAAAAAGGACTGGGGATGTAGTTCAGTGGTAAGGTGCTCCTAGGTTGAAGCCCTAGTAGCAAAAAGTAAAATATAATAAAATTCCAAGGACATAATGACCTTAGCTCCGTATTGCTAAGGAAAAGGCTAGTGTCCCACCTCCAGCCCCCTCCAACACACATCTTCTCCTGACCCACAAGCCATCTCTCTAAAGGGCTGAAATAGAGTCCTGTCCATGGACATAGTAGTAGGCGTCAAGAGGAGGCCTGCCTGCCAGATACTAGAAAGCAGTATTTGAAAATCATTTTTCAGAGATACTGGGCTGTTGGATTTTATTCCTGGGATCCTTTTATGAGGGCTGGTGAGAGGATTGTTGATATTTCAGTTCTGCAGCCAATGTGGTGCCACCATGTGGCAACAGCACAAACAGTTCATAAATCACTCAGCTTTGAAATTCTGTGATTTCCCCACTGATTTTTAACTTTAAGGAATTAAAAATATGCCCATTGTGTATGTTGCAAAGGAGAACGCATTCATAGTTGTTCCTCATTCATATCACTCTATTTTGAATCTGTATCATTCTAGTTTACTCTGAAAAAACTCTTTGGGGAATGAATTGACCTCCATTTATCAATGTCACTATTGTATCTGAGGTGGGCTCATTACACCATCAAAGAACTAATGATCAGGGCCTTTGGGGACCACCAACTCATCTCCACTCAAACTGAATTCTTCCTTCTAGTTTTCTGAACTGACGTAGGTATGACTATCCTTGGTTTGCATTCATAAAAAGAGAAGGCAGAAAATAATCAAGAAGTCTCATTTTAACTTGAGAACTAAAATGAGAAAATAAAATAAAACTTGTCTGACATAACTAAGCAAGGGCAATCATGCCAGTAGGAGAACTGGGCAGATTGGGAATATTTTAGTTCTGAATCTGAACTTTATCCAGGTGCTTTCCATCTGTGAAAATTCATTAAGTTATACATTGTGGAACAGGATGCAGTTTTTTTTCTGTAATTATTTCATACTTTAATATAATATTAAGACAAATTGGCCAAAGTCTGATCAGTCATTCCTCTTTACTTTGCCTTTGAGACGAGAACCAATAATAACTGGGAAGACAAAAAAAAAAAAACAGGAAGATAGTTAAGTTTTCTGTAAGGTACTTTTTATACAGAGTAAATCAATTGTTCTAAAAGCCAAAGCCACAGATGAGCTCTCCTCCAGTCCCTCTGGGCAGGAAAGAGGAAGACAGGGCACAATCTATTTCACTGCTAGTTTAAATTACTGAGTGTGGCTAGAACTGCATTTTCTCAAAAGTGAACAAATCCTGGAGCCAAACAACTCCTCTTTCTCTCTCTACTCCCAACCTTGTCTCATATATGGACAAATGAGACCCATCAAAAAGAGAACCCTGCCTTATAGAGATACACACCATCTCCAAAAAGACAACACACACACACACACATACACACACACACACACACCCACACACACACACCATCTCCCCATCTCCCCCAGACAGTTCTCAACTCCCTAGATACAGCTTCTGGCCCACAGAGATATCCCACAGATGAGGGGGTGGGTAATTAGGTGAGATGCAGCTATCCATGGCCAGGCAAAGAACATAAGCAGGAAGAAAGCAAGCAGTATTTTCGAAACCTTAACAAAACTAAATTTCTCTCAAAGGATAATTTTTTAGATCTGCAAAGAGGGTCCCGATGTCACTGTCAAGTTCCCTAAATTACCTCCATTTCCACCCCCAGCCCCAGATTCTTTGGACCATTTTCTTCCTATGTTTCAATATAACCCCAGTGAGTTTTCACACCTATCATACCCTCTGAACCCCAAGTGCCTTGGAAAGACTAAAAACAGATATTATTTCATTTTATAAATGAAAAAGTTGAGGCTCAAAGATGCTTGTCAGTCACATCAAAAATTATCTAAGTAGTCATCTCATCACGGAATTTCAGAATTGAGGAAGGGGCAGCTGAGTTGGAGGGCCCGGATGATAATGGCAAAAGAGGTAGGGACAACCTGCTTCCCAGCCCAGAGCTGTGAAGCAGCCCACAATGCCACCAACAGCAGCACTAGAACTGCTTCCAGGAATCTGGGGTAAACAATTCACCTTTAACAGCATTTACATACTCTGGGATTGGTCCCCTCCCTCTTTCCCTGGGAAAGTGTCAAGCAAATCAACAAATCCAGATCAAGGGGTGGGGGTTGGGAGGGCAGAAATTAAGTCAGACTCAAGGCATTTTCTAGTAGCAGCTGTGAGCAAATGTAATGGAAACCAAACCCATGGCGTACCCGCTTCTCTTAGGCAGGTCCATCTAGGCCTTGTGCACTTGGAGTCTCTGGGATAGTTATCCTCAGGGACAGGCTTTATTGGGGGGCGAGGGGAGGGTAGGAAGTAGAACAATACGGATCTCAACGCAGGTACCTAACAAATTCCCCTACCCTCGTCGAGACGTCAGTAAATTAAGTGACGGGAAAGAGAAGGAGTGCCCCCAAACACTGCACGTCCAGGGGTTCCCACCACTGAACCGCTCCACAACACATTCATCCGGAAGGTCCCTCGCGATTATCTGTTCTGTAGAGTCCCTGGGGATAGGTTTCCTACCTCTCCAAGTCTGGCATCTTTGGGGTTAAAGGAGTGTGAGGAAGAGACCGGGATGAAACTGAAGTAACCCCCCACCCCACCCCCGCAACCCTCAACAGCGCTTCCCTGCCCAGGCAGCCCGGGGGCGGGGCCAGATGCAATGGTCTCGAGTTCTAACTCTGCGCACCAGCCATGACCTTGGGCAGGTCCCTGATTAGCCCCATTTTACAGAAATTAAGAGTCCGAAAGAGTCAAATCCACTACGGTGGGCTGCTGCGGGGCGCTTTTTGGATGGTTTGAGACGCCCGTACCAACAGCAGGTAGCATAGTAGGTGCGCGGTGAACCGCAGCCCCAGCACTACGTGGCCAGCTGGGATCCGGAAAACACGAGGGAAACGCAGAGGCGAGGTCCCCGCCCCAGAAGGCATAAAAAGGGGCGGTTCCGACTGCCAGGATCCCTGAGCAAGTTCAAGTCTCCCCTATCCAGCTTCTTCCTCTGCAGAGGCAGACTGGCCATGCCGGGGAGCCCTGGCTCAGGACGCGCTCGGGGTGCTGGGGAACCTGAGAGACACCTCCACACACCCACCCTAAAAGTTGCGGCAACATGAAGGGGAGAGTGGCGCAAAGCTGCCAGAAGGGAGGGGAGGGCACAATACTCACACGGACTGGCCGGCCTGGAAAAGGTCCGCGGCTGGGGTCATTGATGGCGGCCGGGTTCAGGCCACCGCGCCTCGGGATGCCCAGGGTACCTGCCGCAGCGCCGCGCGTGGATCAGAAGGCTGCGGGCAGCGAGGAAGGGGTGCGAGTCAGCCGGCAAGCCAGAGCTGGGCTGCAGCGCCGCGGGGGATCGGCCGCCAGAACCGCAACCGCAGCGGGAGCCGGGAAGCGGGCAGTAGGCGGGAGCGCAGAGGTGGCAGCGGCTGTGAGGGAGGCGCCCGCGCCGCAGGCAGTCAAGCCAGCCTGGCCGCAGCGGCCACCGACACCTGCTGGCCCGGCTGACGGCCAATCAGAGGCGCCCGAGGCGGGGGCGCGTGCGGAGGCGGGGCGGGGGCGCGTGCGGGGAGCCCGGCTGGAGAGGTGGCGCACAACCGCGCCTGCGCCGGAACACCGGGTGCCTACCCCGCGGGTTGCTCCAGAGCTCCCCAGGCGCGCGGGCGGCACGCGCCGGGAGGGGCGGGGCGCCCTAGGAGGAGGCGGGGCTGGAGCTGCAAGAACCCGGGGCGGGGACCAGCGCCCCTCCGGGAGCTCTTTCAGCTGCGCAGTGCAGTGTAGGGGCCGGGGTCCCGGAGTCCCAAGGCACGACTTCAGGACGTTTCGAGCTTTCCTGTCCGCTGCCTCTGAACATTGGAGACTCAGGACCTCCGTGACCGCGGAGTGATGGGTCACTAAATCCAGGGCCTGCCTGGTTCCGAGAACACCTCGGTCTGCCGGCCCGAGCCTCTCCAAAGCTGGGGTGACCCGCCTCCTTCCACAGCTCTTCCTCACTTCATGGTCCCTGGGTATTTAAAGCCACCGTGATGACCTGATCCGGATTCCTGTCATTCTCCCATGAATTTACTGTGCTAGCGACGCTCATTCATTCAAAGCCCTTTGGTTCGCGCTTGGCTTAGGGAGCTGTCCGAGCTACTGCGTGCCCAAGTCTTCCAAAGCCCCCTCCGCTTCCGCAACACCAGGCTAGAGAGCCCACAGTGTCCGGACGCCCCGACTGCTGCAAGCGAGGAACGCACTGGGACTCATGCCAGGAGCATCTGGTTATGGAAGAATGACAGAGTTGAAAGGTTTCACCCCAGGCCAGGGGTTCACTGCGTGTATGCATTCAAACAAGCACAGGGCCAGAAATTTTCCTGAGACCGACTGCCTCATCCCCAACAACTCGGCTGTGAAAACACATTGTCAGTTTTAGCTGCTTCTCACTGAAGAAACTTCATGAGAATAAAGCCTTTGTGGAGCTGCACTGGCGATTTCTAAATCCCTGGGAATCCTCTCAGGTCGATGGTTTCAGGCTGTTCCCTCTGTAAATGTACGCAGTAAGAATGGATGTCTCCTTTGCTGATTGTTCCACAGCAGCAAAAGGAGGAAAAAAAAAAAAAAAACACTTTTGGGAAGGGAACTTGGAAGGTAAAGGGATTTATTTCTCTGAAGATCTGGTTTCCACCTTTAAAGGGATTTTAATGTCCCTAAACTAGTAGAGTGGAAGAAAGTTTGTTTCTAGTTTATTTAAATTTCATTTTAATTTTAGTTATCTCCATTTGATTAGTATTCACATGGTACAAAATTAAAAAGTAGAAATGGGTACCCAGTTAACAAGATTCCCTTCCATTCTTCTCCCAGCCTCTCAATTCCTGTGCCTGGAGGTAACCAATTTGTATTCTTCTAGATAAAATCTACATATACCCAACTAGATAGATTTGTTACATATTTTTCCTTTCGTTGAACAAAATGATAGCATTTACTATACAGAATATCCACAATGTTCTAGACCTTGATCATTTTTCTTAAGATATTATCAGAGAGTAATTCCATATTATTACCAATATTCTCTTGTTGTGTACAGCTGTATAGTATTCCATTATGTCAAAATTCATGTAAGAGACCTGAATTATGGTCATTTAGATTCTCTCCAATATGCCATTAATAATAACATTGCTACAGTGAATAACTTTATTCTTATGCTTATGTGGAAGTATATATGAAAAATAAATCTCTAAAATTGGAGTCACAGGGTCCAAGGCCACGTGCATTTATGATCTGGATATCAAATGTTCTTTGTGGAGATGTTTACTCATGACCTTGATTGCCCGTTTACACATACAACCATGCTACCCCTCTGGTGATTCTGAGTCATTTGCCCTCAGATCCAGTCCTGGTCCTTCTTGCTCTGCTTTGTGGGGGCTGACTTCTAAAGGCTGCATTTTCCAGGTTTTCCTATCAACTGTCTTTGTGTTTCACGGTCCACACAGTAGAAGAATGGAAGGAGGAAAGAAGGGAAAAGCCAGAGAATTTCTCACTGCTTTTCTTCTGCATTGAAGGTGGGCATAGAAGAGTAGTCCAGGGTTATCAACTATTCCTCCTGGGCGACTCCAGGTCCTGTAAAACAGGCTAACTATGGACCCAGCTCCTTGGGCTCTGGCAATACCTCCTCCTCTTGTCCCTCCAGCCTGGAGGTAACAGATTATCCCACAGATGCTAATCTCCAGCACTTTCTCCACTTCCGAAGAGCCTCTGGAACCTCACGTTATCTGTGTAACCAGCTCCATGTTTTAAATTCCCCTAATTTTAAATATCTTATGTGGTTCCTGTGTTTCCAATTGTACCCTGATATAGTCTTGCTACACTCATACACTTCTCTATACAGTGTATTATAAAACTTTCTGATCTTTGTCAATTTGGTTAGATGAAAAGGGGCCTCAGCAATTTGACTTGCATTTTTCTTATTAAAAGCAAGGTAGAACATTTTACATATGCTTAAGAGTCATTATAGTTCCTTTTTATTTTAACTCTAGGTCATATCCTTGCCCATTTCTTTAATTTTGACAGATCAATAGATTCTTAATGGAGAAACCAAGTCCTGCCAGTGAAACGTTCTACAAAAACTTTTGTTGGAACCTAGGTTTTCAACAAGATTTTTACCTCAAGGAGCCTTATCTAGTCAAAAATCTGTCCATGGCTAAGGAGGAAAGGAAGAAAATAGAATATGAGTATTTGGGAGTTTATAATCCACCTGGATGGACAAAATAAACCTATGTTAAATAATGTTCATTGTTTTACATTATTGTAACCAGTAATGCAAATGATAACAAATCTGAGTGGTCTCTTCCCTGCATAAAGTATCATGGAATCGTTCCCAATCATTACAGAAAGTTTTCCTCTTTTTAAAATTTTTTTAAGTTGTTGATGGATCTTTATTTTATTTATTTTTACGTGGTGCTGAGGATCCGACCCAGTGCCTCACACATGCTAGGCTAGCCTCTATCACTGTGCTATAACCCCAGCCCAAGTTTTCCTCTTCTTTCCCTGTTTCTTCCCTCTTTCCTTCTTTCTTTCCCTTCCCTTTCCTCTCTTCTTTTCCTTCAAGTGTATGGTATGCCATTGACGAGGCTATGTCATAACTAATTTAAAAGGTCCCAAGGACTCTTAGTTATAAGTGGCAGAAACCCAACTACTACGGCTAGGATGTTGTTTGTACCCCAAGGGTTCACATATTTGAAGCTTGGTCCCCAGAATGGCGATGTTAAGAGATAGTGGAACTTTTTTAAAGCTTGAACCTACTGGGAGGTCACTGGGGGTGCTGCCCTTAGAAGGAATTAAGTTCTTGTGGGACGGTGAGTTAGTTCTTAAGAGAAGATTGTAACAAAAAGAGCAAAACCGGTCCCTCCCCTAGATCTGGCTTCCATTCTCACCATGTGATCTCTCGCTGTCTCTGCCCTCCCACCACGATGCCACCCACCATGATGCGACACAGCCACAGAATTCCTCCCCAGAGCTCAGCCAATGACAGGGTGATGCCTTGAGCTTCCAGAACTGTGAGGTAAACAAACCTTTTTTTTTTTTTCCAGAGTAATGGAAAAAGGACTGATAAACCAACTCAATCTTGGGCATAAAAATAAACATATAGGCTTATTTAAATGCAAAGTCCAAATGTATTTCTAATTTCAGGAATATTGGATTCAGGGGTTCAAAATGATGTCTGTAGAAGTAGAACTATCATCTCCCTGTTACTCTCCCCCCACCATCACCCCATCCTCTCTACTTTCCTTTGAAGGCTTCATTGTTAAGCTGACTTCATGGGTAGCATCTGGCAGTTCTAGAATTATCTATTTTTTCAGTGGTTAAGATCCAGAAACAAGGTAAGTCTTCTCTTTACCAGAGTACATGTTGCTGTCTGGAATGCCCTAAAAGTTGCCCTAGAAAACTCACTTGTCCTGCTTTAATCATGAGTCCATCCCTTGAGCAGTGTGAGGACTGGCATTCTGACTATTGGTTAATAAAGATGAAAAGATATACACAGCGGTTGAAGTAAATCAGTCAATGTGTACCATATTCATAAACACTTTCCGACACATGCCTCCTGACTGGTCAATAGTAATCTACATGAAAATGCTTAGGTTCATTTTTGTTCAAACCTAGTGAAGATCTTCTGCAGCTGGATCCCAGACACATGGTAAGTGTTTGTAGCCTGTCAAAGGGTCTTTTTTCAAATGGACTTTATGGGGCTGTATCATGACAAGAATGAAGACTGAGTTCAAAGGTTATTTGACATTACACAGATATTCGCAAAGCTGGTTTGATATGTGAATCTGCCTCTTGTTAAACCATGAGAATCAAGCTCCTAACATCTTGCCCAAATTATAAACATATGAAAGAAAGAGAAGTACAGAATAGTTTCATGATTTGAGCAAAATCACAAATAAGACAAGAAGATACTGATAAAAACCGATAGACATATGAACGAAAGAGAGCTCCAGTTCCTAATCTACTGTATTTTAGACAGAAACAGACACCACTTTGATTCTCCACCAGAGCTAGTGTTGATTTTTTTTAAAAAAGGTTCCCTGTGACAAGTTTGGCATTTGAAGATGACGTGGATAACCATAAGATTGGCAAAAGATGACCTAAAGTGACACCTCCTCACTTACCCCTATCCTGAGCAATGCTGCTGAATTCTAGTAATATCCATCCCCTCGTTTGCCTCTCATGACTCACAGGCAGTACTTGTTTTTCC